GAGAGGTCCAATTTATTGTTTTCCATTCTATGGTGTATTTGTGTGTGCGCATGAGTGTATGTTCTTCTGTTGATTCCTCTCCCGTGAAGAATGTAACGGACTTAGTTCAGGTACTTTTGTGGGTTGTCTTGCTGACCCTGTGGTTGTCGCTAATGTATACATACACATTTCATTACTTGCCAATGGTGCAATAACCACTGCTGACCAACCGACCTGTGTGTGGCCTCCTTCCTGGGCCTGGCTGGGGTGGGGAGAGTTGATCGTAGCCAGGAGCCAGGGGTGTCGGGAGGTGGACCACGAAGGTTGCAGCTTCCACGTTCACTCATTCACCGTCCATGCTCATGAAGCACGAGGCACCAGGGTGCTCATGGGGGAGGCTGGGGCAGCAGGATGTGCAGGAGGGGACTTGATCTCTTGCTACTCTATGAACTTCTTTCTACCTGTAGCCTGGCATCCTGTCTTGGGGGCAGGGGCTTCATGCCAGCCTTTAGCTCTTTTCCTCAAGGGCTGAAGTTAGACTAAAAGCAGTGTGTGTGTGGGGAGGGGGGGGTGCGAATAAAATGGAAGACTTTTCTAATAGGTAGAAGTTTCCAATGTCTGGTGCCTTTTACTCTTCTCTCCCTCTCATTCCCAGGAGACATCCTAGGAGACGAGGATTCTAAACTTGGAGCCTAGAAATGTCTTAAGGTGGTTGAGGCGTACAAGTACATTTTTCTGGGATGGATCCTAAGTTTTTATCCAATTCTCAAAAAATTATCTTTGATTCAAAAGGGCTGAGTGCCTCCCTATTCCTAGTTGGGTTTTCTGCCCTTTCTCTATGGTGGACTAGTCTTGTTTCACCCTGTTTTTTTTGTTTTTTTGTTTTTTGTTTTTTTCTGGCTTGGGCCTGGGAGGAGTGGGGCTGCAGGACCCAGGTGGTAGAACTGTCCTCAGGTGTCCCCACAGGCCTGCTGGTTTAGGGCTGTGAGAGTGTTCTGACTGGGGGGATGGGCTCAGCCTGAAGATGGGTGTGCAGAGTCTGTTGAGGTCAAGGGAAGATTAAAGGCAAGTGGAGACAGGGCAGAGCTAGTCTGCGTCCTGCCAGCTGCCCCGAATGATCTGTGGCCACTTCCACAGTTGCTGAGGAGAGAGCTGGCTTCTACCAGGCAAGTCTCCAGTTATGATGCTGAGCAGCCACAAACGTACTGGAGTGAGGACCAGGTTTTGGTCTCAGGTTTGGCCCTGCCATTAACTAGCTGGGTCACCTAAACTCTTGCTTTTTTCTCATGTCAATTGAAAGAGATGAATGATTGGCTGTTTCTCAAACTCCCTGACAGGCTCTTCAGCAGGTGGGGCCTGGGAAGCACAATGCTGTCCCCAGCTGACCCTTACACAACTATCTAGGTATGTCTGGGACTAGCTCAGTGGTTCTCACTGGCTGCCCATTAGAACCATCACCAGAGCCTTTTGGAAAATGACCATGCCTACATTCTACCCACCCAGACCAAATGAAACCTATCCCTTTGGAGATGAACCCCAGGCATGGCGATTCTAGTGATTGTGATGTCCAGCTACGGTCTCTGTCCTGAGCTCATAATGACTGAATGCATGACCACGCGAGCTTTTCTCAGAGTCTCAGGTGAGGCACAGGACCTGCGTGCTGACAGAGTTGTCCCATAAGACTCTCAGGGGGTAAGTCAGAGAGTCTGTCTGTTCCTCAGTCTCCACGGTGGTCCTGTGAACACAGCTCCCTCCTTGGCCCAGTTCATAGAGAAACAAGCCTTGTCAAATAAATGGAGAGAAATATGGAGCGTTATTGGTTTATTAGAAAAACTAGTAAATGGGTTTCCTCTGTTTGGTGGAAGCACATTTGAGCAGGAGGAGGACAGGGCCCACCCAGCTGGCCCCCGATTGCATGGTCTGTACCCAACAGGGTTGCAGTCCTCTGTAGCTGCCTCCCCCCTTGTGTCCCCCCTGAGCTTGCTTGTTCAAGGGACCAAGCCATGTGGTCCCGGGTCTCTGCCCCCTCCCACTGAAGGGAGGAGTGGGATCCAGGACCAGCCTCGGGGACTACACTTTCCCTCCAACGGGCCGGAAGGAATGGTGGTGTGGTGGGGAGCTGAGCCTTCCACGGGCCTCCTGTTATGGGTGCTGGTGGGGGAAGGAAGCCCAAGAATCCTCCACACCCCGCTCAGCCAGGGTCGGTTGAGGCCTGCGAAGGAGAGGAAAGGAGGACCGCCTGACCACGCCCAGAAGGAGCTTCCTCTGAACTGCCCTGGGAGGAAGCCTGTTATGCTGGTGTGGACTGGAGCTGTGTCAACTGAGTTTGGGATACTATTAAAGAAAAGATTGCAGAGTAGAAAATGTAAGGAAGAAAAAAACCTGGCCAGGGCACCAGGGGCTTAGCCCCCGTGTGGCATAGTCTCCCAAAGCTGGGGGCCTACGGTGTTAGTCCAGTTGGTTGAGGGTCTTGGGGCCTGTGTGATGTGGGAGGGACATGTGGAGAGCTGGCAATAGATGGTGGGTCACATGCAGCTTGCTGCCCTTGACCAGTCCAGGGGAACTGGGTAGTGACGTCCTAACTCCTAACACTTCCCTTGGGGCCCTTTCACTCTTGGGACTGTGGAGTTGCTTGTTGGAGATTCCTCACTCGGGTGCTACTTTGGCACATGTGCAGCGGGGGAGGGGTGTGTTCCTTTGTCCCTCAAAGCCCAGGGCGACAGTGGAGGGAGACTCTTGCCGTAATCTGCTCTTGAGCAAGGAACATGCTGTCTGCCCTGGAGGCCATGCCCTCGGATGCACCAGAGACCTTTATTGTCAGGTGAGTGTAGTCACCTCACTGCTTCCTGCCTTAGTTTCCCCAGGTGTAGAAGAAAGCTGGTGAAGGGTCTGTACTAGGTTCCCTGTAGGTGCAGAGAGGTCCACAGGGTTAGGTTCACAGAGGCCGAATGAAGACCCTGGCTACAGAGGTGGGACCACCTGATCTGGGGATGTCAAGTTCCATCGGATAAATGTCAACTTCGCCTTGACATAATGGTCATGATCCCCAGGCTGTGCCTGTTTAAAGGCTCCTTGGGAAGGTCTAGTAACTCTGCCTAGTCCCTGTGGTTTCTACCTGAGCCTCACCCACTTCTAATGGAATTATCTGTGTCGAAGTCTCCTTCCCATGGGGAAGGTGATAGAAACAGCAGCTGTAGGCCCCAGGACCTTTAGAGTCTCCCCCAGAAAATGCCTACTGCACCCAACTTTACCCCTCTTTTGGACCTAACCCCAGCTCAGGTGCTCTGCTGGAGCTGTATTGCTTTCAAAGAGTGGCAGGGAAAACCCTCGTGGATCGAATGTTCTCTTCCCCGCAGAAGCCTGACCTTATCAGCATGGGGAGGGCCGTCCCTGCGGACCTAGGTTGCTGAGCCCCTTTGGCTGTGCTTGAGGATGGGGTATGTATGGGGTAGATGTTTGGTGCCTTCTGCACCCATGTGACTCCCTCAAAGCCCAAGGCCAGGACCTTTAGGAGAAGCTGAGCAAGGGATGCCACACCTTCATGGCTCTGGCCCCAGCATTTGTCCAAGCTGTCCAGAGTTATGTGAGTGCTAATACCCGGGTATGGCTATGTTTGCCACCCTAGAGTGATAGGTCATGAACTTGGCTTTCTGTCCAGCCAGTACCCTCAGATGATATCAGCTGCAGACAATACACATTGGGCATTTGGCTTTGGGATGCTTTACTCCAGGTGCTGGGCTGTCCATCCTGTATCTGGGGACTGTACTGTCTCCCTAAGGGGTCTTGGGTCTGAGTGTGATATTGCTGATTCAGCTGCTTCTGGGAGCGGGGATCCCAGGGTGGAGAGGCAGCAACGTAGGCAGTGTCAGGGCCGGTCTACCTCCTTTCAGGTCTGAGCCCTGAGCTCTACGCTCTAACTGCAGTCTTAAAAGAACCGGCTAGAGAGCTTCCTGAGCTTCCCTTCTACCACTTATGGGGGTAGCAAAGGGTGCTGGAGGCAACAGGGGGCCCCTTACACTAAGGACCCCCTTTTTTTTTGGTAGGAGGGGGGAGGGATGTGGTGGCTCCTGAGGCGAGAGTCCCAGTTCTGAGGAAGCCCAATGGAGAACAGGCCCAGAGTGTCTCTCAGTCCCTAACAGCCTTCTCTCCAGAGCCAGGCGACCTGAAAGCTCCTTCCCCCTGCCCAGGGCCGGGTCAGGCATTTCAGTGTCCTCTCTCCTTTCCTTTTCCCTGGCTGCGACCATGTGAGAGGTGACCAGTAAGACTTGCTTTGGGAGTGGGCAGCATCTGAGGAACCCCATCAGCCTCCTTCTCCAGCTTTTATGGGGCTTGTGGGGCTGGCGAGCCCTCAGCCCAAGAGGAGCGGAGAAGAGGGCATGTGCCTTGGAAATTTGTTCCCAGGCCTGGAGGCCTCAGGGCCCCGGTGGAGCTTGGAGCCCCTGTCCCTGGAGCTGCTCTGCGGGAGGGTGGGGAGCAGGCATCGGGCCGGGTGGGCAAAGGCAGCTATTGCAGTGCAGCGTGGGCCCAGAGCCCGGCCCGGCGACTCAGAGCAGGCAGGCAGCAGGCAGCGGGCAGCTGGGCGGCAGGCAAGAGGAGGACCAGGCTGCAGCCGAGGTCACGGCCATGGGCGCTCCAGCCTGTCCCAGGCAGCCGAGGGAAGCACTGCGGCACCTGCAGCCCAGCCCCACTGTGCAGCGCCATGAGAGGCTACTTCTTTTTGGGGAAGAAGCTGAATCTCTTCTCTTTGTCTTTCTTGCTGAGGCTGGCATCAGGGCCGGTGATGGAGGGCAGGGGCAGGCTCTGAGCCTTGATGCGGATGCTCTGGGACTCGTTGATGGCGGTGCTCACACCCTGAAGCCAGGACAGCATCTCCTCCTGCAAGGGGGGAGGGTCAGAACCCCACACCTCCCAGGGCCCTGCAAAGGATGGGGGCTGGTACCCCAGGACTGCCCATTCTGCAGGAGCCTCGAGGTCAAGTGGCCTGCCCCTTTGTTAGCAGG